TATAACCTATATATATATATATATATATATATATATACTTTTACATATAAAAAAATGTAACACTATACTTTTTTATAATTATTGTGATTTCTTTCGATAATTATATATATGTTGTGGTACTTTTGGGTGTTTTGTCGATAAATAATTGAGAATTAAAGAATTTTCATGAGATTATGTGGTTTAGAGAGTTTTTTTAGGCAAAGGTTCAATTTGATTCAAAGGATATAACATACAAGGTTCCCTTTAAAATTTGAGTCTCAAATTCATTTTTCAAATAACTTAGAGAGATAAGTTAAAGAGAATGACTCTGGAACTATAACTCTTCATTTTTTTTCTTTTTAGACTCCTCAATGGTGTAAAAGATATTTGTTTAGTAGCTAGTTGGTAATTCAAGGTTGTTAAAGTTGCAAATCAATGTTGGTGCAATGTCTCAAAGCTCGCTCTTCTTCGTCTTCATCGATTCTCTTCTAATTCAAGGTAAGGGAAACTATATTTTATGTATGTTGATTTTTTATGCACGTGTTGTTTGAAAAAAAAAAACATTTGATTCATGGTTGTGTGAATGATTGAGGTGAGATGAGATTGCATGTTGTGGGTTTTGGTGGTTTTTGGTCATGTTGGGAGTTGATTGCATGTTGATTCTGGGGTGGAATTTGAGTTCTTGATGAAGTTTATGCATGGATGATTTCCCATTATGTTGCTTAACTTGCATGTTGTGGATTGTTTGAATGTTGAGATTGGTGTTCTTGGGTTCAAGGAGTAAATTTTGGTTAAGTTGGATGATTTTGGTTACATTTTGATATTTTGCGAAAAATTGAATTGAATATGATGTCTAAATGTATATTATTATATTGCAAGCGTGGATTGTCTGTTGGTCAGGTTAAAGGATAAAAAATTCATGATATACTAAATGTAAATCTCATCATTATATTGGATGTGCTTTCAAGATATTAAGTATGACTCAAATAAATAGTTATTTATCTTATGTCGAGTACAGGATTGGTGAAGTCAACGTGAAAAAAAAGAATAGTCCCTAATTTGATAACTTGAGTGGAAAGAAATTATGATGAGTAATAAAATTACAATATTACTCTTCTATCTAATTTTTATACATTTCATTTAAATAAACATACATTTTATTTGAATGAAACGTATATTATGTTTTATTTGAATAAAACATATTATAAATACATGTTTTGTTTGAATTATAAACATAATATATGTTTTATTCGAATAAAAATATATTTATTTAAATAAATAAATTTGGGACATTATTTTATTTGAATAAATATAAGTTGAATAAAGATATTTTTGATATTTAATAAAAAAAATTATAATATCATTTTTCTGTTATTTACTATAAAACTATTGTTTATTTGATTAAATAACATTTATTTGAATAAAATTATTTTAAATAATTATTTTATTCAAATAAACAACACACTTTGAATTGAAGAATAAAAATATTTAGAAATAGGTGTAGAGAAAATGAAAAGAAGAGAGAAATAAATAAATAAAGTAAAAAATATAAAATAATTTTAAAAAAAATTAATTTTTATTGATTATTTTTTATTTTAATAAATTAAATAAAAATTATATAACTAAATAAATAATATTTTTGAAATAAGATAAACAATTAATTAAAATAAAAGTAATTATATAATTATAAAAAGTTTCATTCGAATATGATTTTTTTTATTCAAAAAAAGTTTTCATATTGGAATAAAGGTTTTACTATGTGAATAAAAAATTTTGCTATTTAAATAAAAAAAAATTTGATTGTTCGAATAAATTATAGGATGACACACGTTTCTCTTAGGTATTTTTTCTCACTTTTGCGAAAATATTTTACAAATGTGGGACCCATGTCTGTTAATTTCTCATATGACAAAATTCTTACTTACCACCCAAGCAAATTTATTTCATATTAATTTATTTTTTTTTACTATTTCTTCACTATTTTATCGGTACTAAACACAATTGTTAGAAGAATTATGAGGAATTAGAAGTAAGTTTTGTAATATTTCTTTATTAAAGAGATTTTTGTGAAATTTGAAAAATATATAAAATTATATAATTTAAAATATTAATTGAAACAATATTATAAATTTTATTATATTTCACCTTATTTCTTATCTATTTTTTTGTATATAATAAATTTCATATATTATCTTTTATTCTCTTCTATTTTTTCTTCCTCTCCAAACAAAACATGTATTTTGGAAGAGGATTGTTATATTTTCTAAATACGAAATGAAATATTATTTGAAATTTTAAAATATTAATATTTTTAAATAAATTTATTATTAATAATTATTTAATTTAATATTTTATAATTTA